TTTTCAATCGGTTTGATATTTTCTTTTCCATTTTGCATCCCATCTGCATTGTTCTCCCTCCTTTGTAATTTTACCACTTTCTTCTATTTTTTCCATTGTTGTGTGTTAGTGTGGCTATAATCAAATACTGTCCTGGTACTTGACATTCTCATCTTTTTTATGTCTTTTGTTATAAATCCCAGGTTTACTTCTGCTATCATCATTTTGTAATCTGTTTTTACTTCTTCCTTTATGTCCATTATGTATGCCTCTTTGCATGGCTTTTTTACTTTCTTCATTATCCATATCATGTCAATTCTGCTTTTTGTTCCTCTCTCCTATGTGTATTCTTGCTTGTTTCTGTTCCGGTATCTATAAGTGTCTATTAAATCAACTTCTTTCATCACCTGTATTTATTTCTTTTTTGTTTTTCCCTCCCCTGTTCCTGTCCGATCCATATTGTTATTTATAGTTGTGTTCATGTCTCCCATTACCACTGATATTACGAATTGCTATGTTCACTATTTATTTAATATCTCTCTTGCTTTGTTTATCATCTTATTTCTCTTTGCGCCTTGTTGTGATAGTATATATATTTGTATGATTTCTATTTTTCTTCTTTCTTTGAACATAAACTCAATTGCCAGAATTCTATTTTCTCATTTAGTTATTTGAGTGGCGTGCTTTGCCTACTCCCTTTTTATGATTATGCCTACTCCCCCTGCTTGCTCTCTTGTTGGTACCTATATTGCTTTATGATTTGTTGTACTCATTGTTTTGGTTTATATATTTTCTTTGAATTTTGTGTCTGCTATTCCTATTATCGTAATCTGTTTATCCTCTATTAGTGCTAGTGCTTGTATATTTTGTTGCTTGCTTGCCTTATTTAGTTCATTTGTATTAATTGTTACTATCTTTACTGAAGTGTTATCCGTTCTAATCTCTTTATACATTTTTTTTTGCTTTTTATTGGTTATTGTTCTTGCTATGTTATTTTTACTCATCATTGTTCAATTTGGTTGAGTTTACTGTCAAACCTTTTGTACCTTTATTATGCTGTTCTATCCTTGTTCTATCAGTTCACTTACTTTCTGGACTAAACCATTCATTTGGGCACCATTCTCAATTGTCTTTCTTCAATTATTTTACTGTTCACTTGATATTGTTTATCTGTTTCTTGGTATTGTTTTCTTCATTGTTTCTCTTCCTGCCTATACTGTAATTGCTTTCTTCACTTTCTATCTTATTTTTTTTTCTTGCTTTTCTGGGGTCTCCTCTATTCTCGGTTCAGTGTACAATTTCTCAATACACTTCTCTATTTTTTCCATTCTTTTCTCAAGTTTTATCAATCTTGTTTCCATTGTCTCTCTATTGCTTGTTCGCTTATATCTGGTGACTGATCTTGTTCTGCTGTGTTTGCGCATCACTTCTGCAAATGTGATTGGTGCATTGCCTTCTGGTTCCTTCCTGAATCTTGATTGTACTGCTATGAATCTTGTTTGTATTTTTTTTCTGTCATAGTGAATCTTTATTTCTTCATATTGGTATGCTATGTGTCCATCCTGTTCACATTTTTCTCAAATTGGAACTCTTTACCCAATGCTTGTTACCTATCCTCTTTTGTTTCAAATACGATATATACAATCTTTCCCTGAAGTAGTTGGTGGTTTTAGGTATATACATCATTTTCTCTATTATGTTTTTGCCAATCTCTTTCAAATTATATGCTGTTGTGCCTGCTGACAAGTTTGCCAGTTTCAATACAAAATTGAATCTTTTTTTTATTTCTTCTTTTTTCCCTGCTGCCGGAAGAATTCTCAGTTGCTCTTTTCCAAATAGGATTGACCACTGTTCTGCAAGAATTTTTGCTACCTCCTTATCTTGAAAAGCTACTATGGCTGTTTGATACATTTCTACTGTCTTAAAGTAAATACTTTTAATTTCTCCAAATTTCCTTAAAAGGGTTTTGACAGCTCCCTCGCTCACTGCTAATAATATGTCTCCGATAATCACTTTTTGTCTCAAATCTCGCTGTTGTAACACGTGTTCCATGGGAATCAAAAATTTCCTATTTGATTCATTCCCAAAGTTAATCTCACATACATGTTGCATGTCTATGGAATTATTGAATGTAGCAATGATCTTTTTTTGCCTGTTGGATTCTCTCATGACTCTAACTTCCAAGAAGAAGTTGAAGTGGTAACATTCTTCCTCTATTATTTTTGCAAAAACCATTAACTCTAAATCTGCTGGAATTTCTATCTTTCCCATGTGCCTTGGTTTTCTAGTGACTTCTCCTTGATAGTTACTTCCTTGTTTTGATTCATTCGAACTCTTCTCTATTGCCTTCCATTCATTTGTTATTTCGTCTCTAATATCTTATACCTTATTGTTTCTCTCCTCTTTTTCTTGCTCTATTTCTATGTCTTGCCTATCACTTGTCTCTTGCTTGCTTTGTTGCTGCTTCGTAGGTGTCTCTTACTGATCCTCCTCTTCTTTCATTTTCTCTATCTTGTATTTTCCTTTTATATTATCTGTGCTTGTATTTCTTCTGCTTGTCTCGAACGTTACTCTTTCCCTATTTCCACTCTGTTGCCTTGTAGTGGCTTTTTTGCTGATACTTGTTGTCAGGACATTTTCTTCTCTTGTAGAGCTTATAACCTTTCATTCTTTACCTCTTCTTCTGCTTGAGGTTGTTGTTATCATTTGTCTTTTGTTCATTTTCCACTGCTTTCCTTTTTTGGTAATTTCTTACTGTGCCACTGCTTAATAGAAAAGAGATAACATATATTATTAAATATACAATGCATTACTATTTATATTAACAATTTCAGAAAAACAATTAAAAAAAAATAGACTATCAGATAAGTTATTTAAACTTCTATGACTATATTTTCTATACTAATTGTTACTGATACTCTGTATTTTCAGGGTACATAACACAATAATCACAGTATACAACTATATCTTGTGACTTTTATTAGGCTAATAGTATGCAGCTTAGCTAAATTTAGAAATTAATTTTCAACTAATTGAATACAATATAAATTGAAAGATGATTAACTAATTTTAAAGATGATAAATTTTTTTGTAATCAAATAGATTTAAATTTTAAACTTTTTTTTGATGACTTATAGAGTATTACTACTATGCTATAGACTTATAAATTTTAAAAAGTTATATATATTATATTACATATAATGTAATTTTATATTTATAAATTTAAATTATAATAAAATAATAAAATATAATAGTTAACTTTAATAATAAGTTAATAAAAGTTTATATATAATATGTTTTGCCTAAAAAAAAATAAAAATAAAATAAAATAAAATACAATAACTATTTTACTTTTTTTTAAAAAAAAATTACAAATAAAAAAAATTTTTTTTAAAAAATTAAACTTATTCTTCCTTTTATACTTAAAAATTTTTTTTTAGAAAATTTGTTATTTTTTCATTTTTTTCATTTACTTTTTCTTTCTTATATATTTTTGTTTTTCTCTTTTATTTCTTCTTTTCTCTTTTATATATCTTTTTATATTATATATATATACAGTATATATATATTTTATTCTTTTTATCAAAGCTAGGTTTTTTTTTTCTTGAAGATTTTTCTTTCCGGATCTTTTTTTTTTTTTAAAAAATTCAATATTCTATTTATTATTTCTTTGGCCAGTTGATTTTTTTTCTCAAAAACTATATTAAAAAAAAAATTTTTTTCTTAAAATATAAGTTTTAAAATTTTTTTCACTTTTATGACTTTAAAAAAAGAATAAATAATTTGATTTTTTCAAAAACTTGACATAATGATTACTTTCAAATTTGATATTATTTACTAATTAATAATTAGATTAGATATATAATATTTCAAAATTATTTGAAAAAAGTATTGATTTATTATTTAAGAATTACCAATTTAATAATGATGATTGATACTTTATTTAAAAAATAAGAATTCAATATTTTTTATTAAAAAAAAAATCAATGGTCTATATGATTGCCATTACATTGAATTATTAACTTATATTTTTTTTTATAAATTTGCCAAATTTTTTTAAGATAATATTTAGAATTGCATCTTATTCTTTCATTAAAAATAATTCTAACTTCTTCAAACTTTGTGGCATTTTTTTTTTATGTTTTTTTTTACAATGCTTTATAAGTTTTCAATCGGATTTAGGTTTGGACTATTGGCCAGCCATTCAAAAACTTTGGAGACATGTGATTCAAGGTAAGACACTTTTAATTAGCAAAAAGTGACATATGTCATGCTATAGATATTGTAATTTTGTTTTGCAAGTGAAAATACAATATTAACTAAATGTGATAGCCATTTGCTTCAAAAAAAAAATCACAAACAAAACATCTATTAAAATTTTAATAATTTTCAAAATCACTATATTTTATAAATTGAAAATCTATTAAAAATTTGAACTAATTTATAAAATATAAAATAAAATAAAATATACAATATATAATTTATAGATCTTATTTGTTTATTTATATTTTTAGATGCCAAAACAATAGATTTATGAAAAATGAAATTATATTGCATGGTTTCTCATAATAGTAATCCAACTGAAACATCTTCCACTGAGTCTTAATGCATGTGATCTTCAAAATGAGTTTGATAACTTAATCTGTTGTTTTTCCATTTCTTAATTCTGATAAAATCAATTTTTACAATGAAGCATATGAATCAATTTTTTATAAATCATAATAAAGAACATCTTGGAATTCACCCTAACATCACCGAAAACTGACGGTCGATTAGAAAATGCTCGTTAATTCCGATAAGTTTAATAAAAATATGAATAGTCAATCGCATAATTGTCTCCTTTAGAAATGGGGCAATGATGATGCAAAATTAAGCATAAAAAGCATAAACACCAATACATGCACGAATATGCAGATTGATTTATTGCCATAATACAGGTGAAAAGATATAAATAATAAATTAACATCCCTAGGAGGAAGTAAGTTGATCAAATTATTTTCACTGAAAATAATTTGGAACTTTCATTCCAGTGCGGTCACATAGTTGGCCGGAAATTGTCCTTGCTTACCATTTAGGGTTCCTACACCGTGACAAAAAAAGAGTTATCACATCAACAAAGAAATCTATTTTATCCCGCACAAAGCAAATTACCCACCTTCCCACCATCCACCACCAACATCACGATTCGTAACATCTATCACGTCTCCTTCTTTTATTGTGAGTTCCTCGGGAGATCGGGCTTTGTAATCATATAACACTCGAACTAAGAAAAAAAAATCAATATATGAATAAATATAAAATGGAATAGGGAAAGTTATGGTGACGATATTTTTGGTCAATTATTTCATACGTACCATAGTCACCGTATTCAATATAAGAAGCAGGGACAAAACCAGATTTTCCATTATGAGTTGCCTTTCAATAATGCCAAATAATTAAGCACGTCGAATGCAGACTATGTAATCATTTTTTAGTCATAAATATTAACCATACCATGACCCAACCGGATCCATCTAAAAAGTCGATAAATACAAAATAAATTCAGTAAATGAAATTTAACAAAAAGCAGTAGTTATCATTTAGCGTTACCGTCTTGCTTTATTACTGTAATGATATCGCCGGATGAAACGCTTAATTCGGTAGAGCCATCGGCATCGTAATCATACAATACCGTTGCTGACCATGTTTCCACATCTTCCTTCTCATTTGTAGACGACGAATAGACTGTAGGTGATCGTGATCCACCATTTTTATAACTATTTGTTCCTAAAAAAAATCAGAACAAAAAAAGTAAGTAAATCAAGTTTTCTCAAGATTAGTCGTAAAAAGTAATGTCCATAAGAAAGGTAAGTACCAGAACGCGTTCCCCCAGGTGAGATTTGATCAGTAACATCATAAATAGTACCACGCTTGATCGAACCTTTCTTCTTCGTACAATTTGGGGGAACTTTCATCTCACATTTAGCGTGACAATTATAGCCACAGTCTAAAAAAAGAAACGAATAAATATTTATTACAACCCTATTTGCTTCCATTTCCAGATTCAATTGTAATCTTACCCTTGCAATTAAAACCCTGTTTCGCTATACCCCAGATAGTGCTCTGACATAAATCACACGTGGTAGGAATGGTAAATGCGGCATTCTTAAAATCATGCATTTTATGCTCGCTTTCACCATCTCATGAGAGACAAAGATTGTTCAACATTCAACCTTTAATGTGAAAACATAAAAGATGCCACTAAACATCATTTTTCTTGGTTACCTCCAATAATGCCTACGATGGTGTCTATCTCCGTCTGATAAGAAGTTAGAGAATTTTCTAAAATAATGACCTTGTGAATCACATCATGTAATTTCTGTATAAAATGATTTTATGGATGATAAGTAAAATAGGGTACAACGTTGTAAAAAAGCAGATTCAAAAAAGTAGTGTACATCAGTGACAACGTCGGGGTCTCCGAGTTTGATATTGTCTTCGTAAGCGTGTTTTAGAGACTCCAGTCCTTCGATTTCCTTTTTTTTGGGTTCAACCTCCGAGATTAATTCAGATAATTTTTGTTTGGACTTTAAAAGTTTGTTACTAAGAAAAACACGTGAATTTTCATCATCCGCCATCTCATCCTTTTTTTAAAAACTTCAATAGTGAGAACTAGCCGAGAATTCATTAAAAAATAGATCCAAGCGTTGTCTTACGTTGTCCTGGAATGTAGGTGAAGGCTTGAATTCAAAATCCGGGGGTTCTTCCCATTTTTTTTTGTTATACTTTATGAACAATTGTGAATCGGCACGGGTATCAATATCTTCAATGACTTTAAGTGCCAACTCGAGATGTGATTTAGATTCATTCAAGCTGGACAGCTCAAGGTCTACGTATCCACTCCATATATTCCGTAAAGCAATTGTTTTGCTTTCGTTGAGCTGTTGTAATTGCTAATAATAAAGGCAATGTAAATTAGTTTAAAAACTCTATGTAAATTCGCAAACAGGTAACGAAATATGCACATCGATAAGTGTTGGTATGTCTTCTGTATGGTGTTTTTTTTTGTATTTATTCGCTATTTGTATTGATAAAATATATAAGTTCTAAATAATATACAAAACAATACGCAGTTAATTTTACACGATCTGATAATGCAATTTGTAGTCAAGTACATTTGAGTTTGAAAAAATACTTTGTTGTTGTTCATCTCGATATTACTGTCCGAGGCTTGTTTGCGCAACTGAAAACAAAAAAAAAAAATTTTTTTCTTTTTTTTAGTATTGGGAAGTGAATTATAATCAACGTGATCAACTTGTCATACTTTGTCTAGTAACTTTTCATCCGGTGCCCTTTCTTGCTTTTGATGAGAAGACTGAGCTTCCAAGCAACTCTCGTCGTAACGTGATTTCGCCTATTATTCAAATTCGATTAAAGCTTTTTGTAAAAGGTAAATCGGATAGCGCAATCTTCCTGCCTACTTTTTGCACTTCTGAATATATTTTCTCTTTATCAGAAGTCAGCTGTTGGTAAAACGACATGTGCTAAAATGAAATAAAAGTGAGTGAAATATAAGATACTAAAAGAAATGAATAATAGATCCGCGATTTGGGATCTGACCTTTTTTCTTATATCCTCCTTCTTGCTGGCCACCGTTTTGACTTGTTCCGTTACGCCCGTTAATACCGATTCAGAAAACTTGTTCCTCTCTTTAGCCAAGTTCTCGGTTTCCACCAGGATAGCTGTCCATGCTTTTATGAACGTGCTAAGAACATCGAAGAAACGCTTCAGCATAATCCATTAGACCAAATAAAAGACAATCCAAATATAATATACCTAGGTTCCGACTTGGCACTATAAAATTCTTTTTCACTCAAAGTATTCGCGATTTCTCCAACAGACATGGTGACTTCTTTTTTATCCCTCTTCGACAAATGTTTTTTGGCGAGCGCATCGATCTTACTCGCATATTCTTTTTCTATTTGAGCTCGTTCTTTTACGAAATCGCGAACCTCGTTCAAAAATTGAATTCCATTGGAAACGAACTGGTTGACCGTTGCAACCTGATCCTATATTGAATAGTTTGCAAGGTTCCGCTGTTATTGATAAAAATTGCAATTTTCAATTCTTAGCGATAGGAAAAAGGCTAGGCATGATGTTAAGATCTTACTCTTAATTCTGACCCAAAGCTCATCGTTGATTAAGGAGGAAAAAAACTGTGTCCCCTCCTTTCAACGATGATCGTAGTACAAATATCAATCACTTGACTAAGATTACCACAATCATATCATCACGAAAAACTGCTCTAGAAAATCACGAGAAAAAAAGAGTACAAGAGATTGAAATTTTTTAATTGGTGCCTCATTACTGTAAAATGAGCAATACCCCCAATGTATAAACCCCTACCAGAATTTTAAAATTTAAAATTATTTTTTTTTTAAGTTTTACAATTGTTAATTATTTAAATTTAAATTCTTTATAAAGACTATATAATTGTATATTTAATTGTATACAGTAGAATATCAGCAATCTGTATTCAACAATTTCAAATTAATTATTAAATTTGTATACATATCTATAAAGCTTACTTTATTTCAAATATTTTATATTATTATTATTATTTGGTCAATTATCTAAGTCTTGTTTAATATACTTTATTGAATTATTTAATTTATATATATATTTCTTATTATAAGAATTATTATTTATAGACCTGTCTTCATCTCTTGAAATCAAACAATATCCACATTAAAGTAACAAAAAACTTCAAGCTAACCACTCCTATTCCAGAAAATAATGGGAACTCATTGGAAGATTTTATGCCAAACTTATGGTATAACAAAAATAGAGATAATCTGAAAAAACACAATCTCATATTTATAGAACAAGTAATCAATACTACGAACTCACACTGCATCACATGGACACACTTCAAGACTCATTGGGGCACAAAATATATAGGACAGAAGCCACACTAGTTTGAAGAAATCACCTACTGGTTCCAAGAAAAAGAAGACTATTATCCAAAAACTATCATCAATGCTTTTGCCATATGTGACCTGGCGAATCAGAACAGTATCCAATATCACAAATACATTTCTATAATCATTGATCAAAACATTTATATAGGTAAGGTCAACAAGCAGGTCAGGATACTCTATAACAAATTTAAGACACAATATTATACACAAATATTAGAAGATTCTTCAATTGAAAAATGTCATGGATGTGAAATAAACATGTAAGGAAAATCAAACATATGTATTAGAAAGATCAATATCAAATATGCAATTGCCATTCCAGTTAAAAAAACAAAAAACAGCTTAAAACGGTACAATCCCATATTAGATAATCTTCTTTGCATTCAAGTATCACCAAACTCCATCAAACAAATCCATAAATAGAGTAACATATTATCAGAAGCAGCAAATATGCCACAGATTATCATTAGTGATACAGCAAGTGACACAACTGATACGGAAGAACTCACAGGACTCAAATTACAACAAAAGATCGAAGAGAAACTTAAAGAAATAAAAAGAACAATCCAGAACTAGAAAACAGTAGATATCTTTACAGATGGCTCACTAGACAAATATGCCAACAGACAAGTCAAAATAGGTATAGGAAAAATTATCATCAATTAAGAAATGCAAGCACAAATCGAGTTTAAAGGCAGATGCGAAGGATTCTCATCATCCACTAGAGCAGAATTACTAGCAATCCTCATAGCACTGGCAATTATAAACACAAACACAACAGCAACAATA